CACAGCATTTTGAAGACGTTGCGAAAGACCATGGTAGGTAGACGGTTCAGCTGCGGATGGAGCTACTTCACGATGGCTGGACTACATGTCGCCGACATTAACCGCTCTTCAACTTCCCATGAGCTGTCATATCACACGGCGTTGTCTATTCACAATGGGTTTCCTGCTGCAGGGCGAAAGACCATGTTCTTGGCGCACCGAGGCTGCAATGCGATAATGGCGAACTGGCCCAACATGAGCACAAAATCTGATTGATCGACGCGTGGCATCTTACGCCGTCGAAAAAGGGACTGCTGCGCTCATCGGAAATGGAGAATTTAAACTCTGCACGGGTGAAACGATGCATCGGAATCCCCGTCCCTGGCTTCGCGTGTCCCATCAGATGCCGGGAATATGCTGGCACTTCGACCGCTTAGCGGCATGCTACTGCTGTCCGTCAGCGAAGAAGAAGAGGGCGCAAACTCATCAGACCGCTGATCAAGACCTAGGGCCAGATCCTTCCATCTCACTACGAATGACATCGTTTTGGTGCCTTCTTCGCAACGACACGTTCATGGCCTTCAGCATCAAACAAGGTCTTCCCCAGCGGACGTTCGTGGTCCTCATACTGTCTTCCGATGTCCATCGTCATTCAAAGAGTTTTTCATCGCATACCCGCACTTCGCCAGACTTTTCCCAAACCATACACGGAGAGCTCGTCTTGTCATGCTGCGAACGGAAGATGCACAGCAGACCAGGGAGCTTGATCTAGAATTGCCCACAGGACGCGCAGCTTGGCCCGTTTCAGATTGAGTGCAACCACCTGTGGGATTGAGGCGAGGGCACAAGAAGCCATTGTTGCCAACAAACGGGATGCCCTTTTGGGGGACGCGCGTGGGAGGCTGCAGCAATATGCAGGTTACTTGGACTGAAGCGGCGCGGTTGGCGGCACCCGCATACAGCTGCATGGGCCCTGGTCGATTTTCTTGGGATAATCTGCATATCCGTCTTGATTGCGACCCTGTGAATGCAGTTCGGGATGAAGGTTAGCGGTAGACCTTGACTCGGTCGTTCTGCAGATTGGACATTTCACGACTCCCCGCCAAGTCACTGACGATGTGAACGCCAGCGGCCTTGAAAAAGGCCGACGCGACCACGAAACGGCATACATTCATCAACGCACACAATGTCGCTTGATATGCGATCGAATACCTTCTGAGTCATTCAATGTTGCTCCCTTAGAGGGGTTCTTGAGCCCTGTTCTGAACGCGACAGGTCGTGGCTCACGGGTACCTTTCTCGGGCCTGAGACACGGCCAGCCACGCTCGTTTTTGTTGCTCATGAGGGTCCCGAGATCTGACTTGAAGTGGTTCAAGTGACGGCGCCCTGATCTCACCGCTACAAGACTGAGACATGATCGAGAATGACACAGCCTCTGGGGTATCCCCAATCGCATAAGCGCCGGCTGGCCAGTCAAGCTTAGAGACAAATTCACGGCCTTGAGCCAACGACAGATTAAATCGAGACCCGTTCGAACATATGTATGAGCAGGCACATATCCGCCTCGGCACCGCACCGCTCGATTCGCTTCCACCAGTTGATGCTAATACAGCAACCACTAATACCATTGAGATCGCCTATTTTTCCTATGATAATGCGACTACTTTTCCTGTGTACTTGGTGACTTTGATAAGGACGATGACGGGGGACGACGGCGATAGACGATGATAATAGGGAACGAAGACGAAGAACGCAGACGATAGACGACGATGACAGTAACAATAACAGTAGCGACTACAACAGCAACGACCATAGAGAGCACACAGGAAAAGTAGTCGCTCTAGCACGGGAAAAATAGGCGATCTCATACCATTGATGGAGTGAAGTGAAACGATCCGCAACCTGCCAACTTTGCTGGTGGTAGTGTTGCGCCAGATGATGCTACATGGCGGGGGCGATAGCTTGAAGTTGGCCCTAGATCTTATCTGGGGTGGTCCCTGTTGACCGCTGGCTGTGTGAAGCTCCATCAACGGCCATCGTGACGGCACCGTCTCTGTACCTGGCAGCCAACCTCCAGATCTTCCGCGGCTTCCCAAAAGTGAAGCTGCACGATGCAAGGTACGGTGCAGACAGCAACTCCACACCCTTCAAGACTGGATGATTGCAACTGAGGACAAGGGCCCATGGTCCAGCAATACCTAGTGCCCATCGCCTTCACTTCGTTGCACATTGCGCATGGAACGAGGGCACCCCAAGATCTGCTCTGTTCTTGGCGTTGGAGCGTATGTCTGTACTCTCTCTCATTTGATCGCTAACAAACTTTGTCAAATGTTACTCCCGACTCAGCAGACAACGAACTTGAGCGGTGCCAACTGCAAGGTGAGGGAATAACTGTTGGTGTTGACCAATCTTTGCCCCTCATTCCTCGCCGCTTTAACGACACCTCAAAATCTTAGCGTCAGTTGGGACAGCAGACAGACAGCCCGGATTGATGGCTCAACTGACGATGGGCGAAGCTACTCTCAGAACGCTATCAATCTTTACCGTTCACGCTTGGTCAAGGCACCGAGTTCGCTAGCGTTGAGATTTCCACACCATCAGAAGCCATCTGCAGGCAGAGTGACAAGCCACCCGAGGGAACGATAACGACAGCGGTCACCAACGTCCTAGACGTCAAGGCCATCCGACCAGCTTGCGAGCAACTACGATTTGAGCTCTTTGACTTGGTTCCAGTCCTCAGCTAGGCCTATCCCTGAGGCTTTTGTTCTCCAAGCCGGCGGGCCTCGCCCTACGCCCCGTCCTAAACACCTGTCTCTGTCATCGGCGTTCTTCACCGCTCTTTCGACGGGCTTTACCTCGGTGTCATCCAACCTCACCCGCGCAGCCTTCCAGCGAACTATGATTCCCGCTCGCAACACGGATCCCCTGGGACCTGAATCGCAACATTTTTCGAGCCACCTACGGCCGAACAGTCTGCGCTACGCACCGTATCCTCTCCGTATCGTTCGTCGGGGCGGAGGGACAGGGAGGTGGGAGCAAGAGCGCATCAAGACGCATGAATAGCGCCATGCATGGCACGCAGTAGCTGCGAGCTTTCTCCGTCGCAGCGCACAGCATAGATGTGCGTGGGCTCGCATCCGAGGGACTAACGTGAACTATCTGATCGCTCCATGGCTCTTCGCTGCAGCGGGAGCCGCACGCAAACAGGCCTTGTTGGTCGGATTGCCGTTTGCACAAGTCTCCCATCAGGCCATCTTATTCGGCGAGAGGCTCTTCTCCTGGGCGACTCCCTGTCGTGCCATGCAGACAACGCATAGAGGCGGCCGTGGCTGCGCTCGACGCCAATGTTTCGTTCCAACGCAGATGCCAGCAAGGCACTCGTCTGCCAGTGGGAGACGGGCATTTTCTCAGCTGTCGGGCTGACACACCGGATGGCCGACCTGTCGATAACCCAGGCGAAGACACCTCCCCGGTGGCTGAATGGGCCGGCCGAAATAGAGGAGGTCTAGATCGGGACCGAAGCCATTGGCCTGCATCTTTAGAGACGGGCATTTTTGTCAGCCATTTCAAAGGCTCTCAGTCACCTGGACGGGTCCAAAGCCGTGCCTAGCTTTTTTACCGCACCTGTGGCCTGCCTCTCCCGCCGCCCTGCCGGTCGCCATAGACGTACCTCGCCCAAGTCTCACGCCAGCGTTGCTTTTTCTCCGCATGGACTCAGATCTGTTCCTGGGTTATCTGCCCGCTGCCATTGGATGAACGACACGTCCCGGTGCTTTGACTCTGCTGGTGGCATTTGCGGGTGCGATGAGATGGCCGCAGGCGAGTCATTGGCTCGCAACTTTGCGTGTTGGTGCTTGGGCTTGCGGGTATTCACATGTTGTTGCGGCGACGGTGCGGCAGAGGGAGAGGGAGAGTCAAGTGCCGCGACAGGCGGATGACGGATCCCACGACGTTGCAATATCGCTGATGCATTTTCCCATGTGAGGTGCCTGCGCGGAAGGGAATCGTCCATGGAAGATGACGGCTTGCCCGTTGGGAACAATACGACGCCGTGACTAATAAGCCTCGTCTGGACGCATCAGATTCTGCGGCTCAGGAGCTGACGAGCGGATTGGACATCCAACCCGAGTCGGGATGCTGAGTCGGGCGGCCGGTTATTGCAACCGGTGGATGCCCCGAGCGTCCACGGCATGTACTCGGTAGAGGCCGCAGACGACGGGCGATCTGTTTTGCTGGCGCCGGGTGGTCTCTCCGTCGAGACTATTTCTTTGACTTTTTGCCAGCCAGGCAGTGAGCGACGGTTAGCTCGCCGGGCAACGTTTCCTACAGCTTTAATCAACATGTCTAATGCTTCTATGAGGACAATAGCAGTAGAGAAAACCAAAGAGGTAGTGATGAGTATAATGATAACGATAAACGACGACGAAAGCAAATACGCGGGAAAGAGTACTACACTGCACGGATAGCCAACTGAAACTGCCCGGCTAGCAAAACTCACTTCCCCTCGTTTGTGGAAGTACGTGGTTGCTTACGAGCTTCCTGGACACATGAGCTGCCATGTCCTGATACGCAGACGGCCGGGCCGCGGAGTGGGAGCACGGCAGGAGGCTGCTGAGGAACCTCCGTCGTGGTCCTCCTCCAGCTGCATGGTACAGGTGATGGAGTCGACCGTGTGTGTACAGCGGCAGCAATGGCTAGGCATCTTGTGGTAACCTCGCTGATGGCTCGTCACGGAGATTCGCCATTAGCGTTTACTATTTGTCCCACGACACTTGGGTTGTTTCTACGGCTTACGGGCAATCGAGAAGTCTCATGTGGCGATATGTGAGCAATAGAGGTTTAATTATACCATTATGCATACAATACAGTCTGCCTACTCCGGATTCAAAGTCCGGCCTACAGTGCCCGGAACGCCGTTCCATACACTATATCTGTCGTCATTGCTCATGAGCTTTAAACGTTTGGACCATTTCCATCTCTTACACACTCCCGCTCATCCGGCGGGTTGATCGCTTCACTTTTTACACATCAAGCATACTCTTCACCTGCTGCGGCTGCCCCGAGACAGAGACGGCTGTGCTGGTGCTGTTACTCCGCTCCCCGGGGGTGAGGGAGTTGAGCGAGACGTTGTCCGACCTGCCACGGGTCTGGGCGTCGGTGTACGAGGGCGGCGGGCCGTCTTGCATCAGCTCCGACGCGCGGTCCGGCCGGCCCGCCCCAGAGTTGGGGAAGAGCAGCTCCGCGGCCGCGTTCATCGTCCGCTCCTGCCGGCGCCGGTCGGACTTGCCGGCGTACGAGGAGAAGGTGGAGCCCTTTGCGGCGTCGAAGCCCGGCCGTACCGGGGTGGAGGTGTTGGAGCTGCTGCCGCCCATGTTGCCCATCTCGATCTCGCGCGGCTGCTCCTCTGGCGGCGCATCGTTGTAAGCTTGCTGCGGCTGCTGGGTGGCGGGGGCGCGGACGCCGCCTACTTCGCGGACGTTGCGGGCGATGCGGTCGCGCATGGACATCTTGCCGATGAGGTGGTCGTCGCGGGTGACGCGCTTCCACCAGGCGGGCTTGGCGACGATACCGAGGTCGTGGTCGATCTCTGCCTCGCGGACGCGGCGCTGGCGCATGAGCTCCTTGTCCTCGTTGGGCGACATGAAGCCGTAGGCGATCTGGATGAAGAGGATGAGCAGGGCGGGGCCGTAGCCGCCGGCGTAGACGGCGGCGAGGTTCGCCTGGGTGTTGAGCACGGAGTAGTCCCAGCGGAAGGAGACGAGGCCCTGGTAGGCGATGAGGCAGGCGGCGAGGGGGATGACGAGCTTGAAGCGCAGCGGGGTGTAGCGGATGAAGCCACGGGCTTTGTTGAGGACGCCGCGGTTGCGGGGGTAGTAGTGCAGGATGGAGTGGCGGAGGGAGGCGACGATGGTGAGCCAGCAGATTACGAGGCAGAAGGTTGCGACTTTGAAGCGGACGTCTGTTGCGTTTGGCTCGGCGCGGGCGGCGGTTTGGTCTGGGGAGCGCTGCTTTTCGATTTCGCCCCAGTTGCGGGGGATGATGAGGAAGAAGTTCTGGGGGTTGTTAGTTTAAAGAAGCTTGGAATGGGGAGGAGGGAACTTACCAGCCATAACCAGAGGTAGTACCACAACGGCAGCCAAAACTCAAACTTGTCTCGCTTGTCGCCCTCGCGCAGGATGAACGGGTCCGGGTCGATGTACTGCCTCTCGCTCCAGCTGCCCCAGTGGCGGACGGCCTCCCATACGAGCGCCATGGTGAACTGCTGCAGGAGGTACCAGAAGAAGCTGTTGATGATGATGGGCAGGCCGACGACCCAGAAGCGATCGACGTCGATGGTCATGAACAGGCTGATGAAGGCGGCGACGCAGACGAGGATGGCGTAGTACCACTGCCAGCGCTTGCCGACGGGGTAGAAGCGCTTTGTCGTGGGCAGGTACTGGCGGCCGTGCTTCTTGAGGCAGGCGAGGATGAGCATGAGGGCGACGGCGTAGACGACGCCGATGGCGACGCCGGCCTTTGCGCGGGGCCCGATGGAGCGGATGGGGTCGTAGCACCATGTGGAGTTGACGAAGGAGCCGTTGGGGAGGAGGGCGACGGGGGTGTAGGGCTGCTGGGTGAGGAAGCAGTTTGAGCCGTTGGAGAGCGTGTTGTTGGAGTAGAGGGTGTAGTTCCAGAAGTCGAGGACGGTGCGGTTGAAGTGGACGCCGCCGAGGACTGTGTCGGAGGCGTTTGCGCCGTCGGGGAGGGGGAGGAGGTCGCGGAAGTGGAGGAGATGCATTTTGGACGGTTCGGAGGAGGTTGTCGTCGTTTCGGGGTCTTCGGAGGGTTCGGATGAGGCGTTCGTTCGGGCGGCGGTGCGCGATGGTGATCCGTGAGGGGGGAATTGAAGGGCCGTCGGGGGCAGAGGAGTTGGTTGAGAGATTATGACATTGCTGGCGGATTTGGAGCGATTGAAGCGGACGACGACGACGGCGGCGAGAGAGCAAGAAGGTTGGAGGTTGAGAGATGTTGGATGACGAGGTGGTGGTGGTGGTGGTGGAATTATGATTATTAGGTACTAAAGAGGATGGATGACAAGGTATATGGAAGCTTCGGAAAGACGGCGTAGTAGCGCAACTCTTTAGCGGCGTATCCAATGTTTTTTTTTCTCGACTAATCGCGCGAGTGCGTAGTCAGCGAGAATTCGCCGGTGCCAATCCCATTCGCAGCTTTCGAGTCCGGAGGAGGGAATGCGCTGATGATCAACAAGGTCGGTTGGGAGTGGACGCGGGTGACGGCCCCATGCGGAATGGGCGGATGGGCAGCTTGCCTTTTTTCTTTTGCGTCGAATTGTGGAGATGCCGAAGGTCCGGGAGGAAAACACAGAGAAACAAAGACCGGGGGGGAGGAGAGAAGAGTGACAAACAATGAAGCGGGTTGGCAGGCTGGGACGGGACCCCGGGAATATCGCGCAGTTTGATCTCATTCCTCATTTGCTGACTGTTTTTTGTTGGTTTTAGTGCCGCTTGGCGTCATGGGCGCTGCGGAGACCGTGCGCTTGGGCTGGTGGGTGGCTGGCACACGAGCCACAATTGGATCAATTCACTAGCCACATCTCGTCAGCCACGATCTCTTATGTCAGCGGAGCTTGACGGTACGTACTCAATGCTTCAAGCAGAGAGAGACAGGACACTTGGAGCTTGGTTTCCCTCCAGAGCTGCCACCAGCTCAAGCTCACACTCACGCAACACCACCACCTCCCTCGACAGACACCACCCATTGCGCCGACACCACACAGCCAATGGCCCCAATCCGCCCATCATGACGACCCAAGACGAACAGGAACCCTCCTACATCGACTACGAGACCTTCCTCTCCCCCGACTTCAACCCCGCCTCTTTCGCAAACACCCTCGTCCTCGCGACCAACAACCCCAACGATGCGCCCCTCGACCTCTCCACCCCGCTCTCCCGCGTCCTTTTCGACACCCAGGAGATTGACTCCCACATCGACGTCCTGACCACAAAGTCCGCCGCCCCGCTGCTGCAGTACACCGACGAGCAGAACGCCGCCAGCAAGCGCATCATCGGCGAGCTCGACGCCCAGATCAAGAGCCTGAACGACAGCTACCGCCAGCTCGAGAAGGAGGTCATCGACAAGCACGCCGAGGCCGAGGAGGTGCGCCAGGTCGCTACCCGCCTCTGGGAGACGCTGAAGCTCGGCCGCTCCGTCGGACGCTGTCTCCAGCTCGGCAGGCAGCTCGAGGTCCAGCACGCCGAGATTGCGAGTGGGAGTGTGAGCGCCGCGGCCGCTGCTGCCGGGAAGAAGGAGGATCACAGGGCGCTGGTGCGCTGCTCGCACACGCTACTCTCTCTGCGGGAGGTGCTGGATCGGTCGGCGCCCGGGGAGGAGGGCTACGGGTTGGGCAAGGTAGACGCGATCCGCACGCTGCGGGAGGGCGTGATCGCGCCAATCGAACGGTCCGTCAGGGAGACGGCGGAGAAGATCATCCGCGACTTTGCGATCCCCAACTCGGCCACCTTTGCGCAGGGCGAGGAGACCAAGGCGCGGACCGTCTCGGCCATGGTCACGCTGTTCCTGCTGTCGCCGCAGCCCGCGATGAAGGGCGAGCGGTGGACGCCGACGCTGCTGCTGCAGGCGCTTGAGGTGTACTTCCGCTCGGCGCTGCAGTCGTCCATCGCGTCGCTGTCGCGGGCGCTGGGCCAGCTGCCATCACTCGACCGGACGCTGGCGGAGATCTCGGCGCGGTGCCAGAACATTGTCGCGCTGGAGGTCGTGTTGGAGTCGACGAAGCTGCCGACGCATCCGCTGGTCACGACGCCGCAGAAGCAGACGAACATGCTGCAGCCGCTGCTGGCCTACCTCGAGACGGGCAGCCTGGCGAGCTACTTTTGGAGGACGATGGCTGGCAGTCTGGGCACGCGGGTACAGGAGATTGTGAACCGGGGAGGCGTGTCGGCGCGGACGCTGAGGACGAACCGGGCGAGTGTCGGGGAGGCTGTGAGGGAGTGCGTTGTCAAAGGCTGCGAGATGCCGAGCGCGCTGAAGGGGAAGGGGAGGGGCGAGGGCAATTGGGAGAGAGAGGTTGCTGTCATGGTCGGCAGCGTTGTGAACAACCTTGGGAGGTGAGGGAAACTCCTCTGGAGTTGGGTCTTTATGATGATGAAATGCTACGAATGCATAAGCGGTCACGAGGAAAAGTCTGCATGTTTCGCAAAATATCAGGTCTGGTTACAGTGAAGGGTCGCAGTTCAAACACTCTCAGTTCGCATCATCGACTTTTCACCATCATTGGAGCGCAAAAAGACATTTGTCGCATTTATCGGAAGGGGCAAAAAGGAAATCATTGAAAGGGACGAGACTCGAACTCGCGCGGGTTGCCCCACCAGGAAACAGATGTTAAGCTGACCTTAACCTGGCGCCATAACCAACTCGGCCACCCTTCCAGCGGACGTTGAAGAACTTCCACGTGGGCGGGCTCATGCAGCGCCGGCGCCGTCGACGAAACCCCCATGCCCACTTCCAGCTCCAATTTTGTGGGTTTTCTGTGGCTCTGTGTAACATTTGCAACTGTCAACGACTCTTCCTCGAAATCGGAGCAGTGTGAGGGACATCGGGACAAGAGACATTCGCATCAACAGGTAGAGAGAGCCATGAGAATGGATAATCTCCTGAACGCCAAGTCGTGATGGAGTTTCAACATTGTCGATGTCTTGAACGCACATCACCGGACAACCAAGTCCGTCCTCTCCGTCTTGTCGTTGAGACGGACACAAGCCCCGAGTCAGGGGAAACCACTTTTCCCCCAGCCCACCGACTCGTTCTCGCAAACTCAACTGCCGTTGCACGTACGGCAGTAAACCCTCCCTCCCCCACGTTGTCCGTGCCCCTCCCTTTGCTTCCTATTGACTGGCACTGCCGAAACCACGGCGCTGTTAGGTTGCCTCGGCCGAACCATGATCTCCCTTCCCGTGGGCAGCAACTCGTACCGGCGGGCGGTAGAGGGGGAGGAGGTCCCCGTCAAAAGTTGTATTCCAACTCTAAGCAATCATGCTCTGGCGTTGCTTCTTGTAAAGTCCTTGGCGCCGCCCTAGGTGCGACGCCCTAATGCCGATAACGAATGCGAGGGCAACGTAAAGACGACGACGACGGTCAACTCTCTACACATCTGTATACTAATCACGCTGCTGACAAAATACATGCTATCCTATGGCTGGAATATGGACTTGAAAAGGCCCTAAATCGCGTAACTGTCGCATCAAACCGGGGCGACGGGGCCAACCCCTTGACGATCGTCCTCGAACTTACCCACATCGTGAAGGCCTCATCGCAGGATAAAACCCCCAAGCCACGCACCTCGATATCTCAGAAATTCCCAGTACCAAAGGACATACCAGCACCCAACAGCCGCCTACAATGGCGCTCCTCTCCATCACAGCCCTGGCCTACGCCATCCCCTTCACCCTCCTCTACTACGCCCTCGCACGCTACCTCGCCCACCGTCGCCTCCTCCGCTTCGCCAAAGCCCACAACGCAACCTTCCCAAAACACATCCCCTCCCGCCTCCCCTTCGGCATCCAGTACGTCTGGCGCACCATCACCACCGCCCGCCGCGGCGGCGACATCCTCGACGACATCGTCGAAAAGTCCTACGCCGCCCACGGCGCAACCTTCACGCAGCCGGGCTTCTTCGGCCCGCGCGAGGTGTACACCGTCGACCCGGTCAACATCCAGGCACTCCTCGCGACAAAGTTCCAGGATTTCGATCTGGGCGAGCGGCGCATCGCGCAGTTCAGCCCGCTGCTGGGGCGCAGCATTTTTACTGCGGACGGCCCGTTCTGGGAGCACTCGCGCGCGCTGTTCCGGCCGCAGTTCTCGCGCGAGAACATCAACGATTTAGGCAAGACGGAGGACGCGGTCAAGGCGCTGTTCGCGGCGCTGCCGATGGTGGGCAAGCCGGGCGATGGCAGCGTGACGGTGGACATCATGCCGCTGCTATTCCGCTTCACGCTCGACACGGCGACGGGGTTCCTGTTCGGCGAGAGCGTGGACAGCCAGACGGCGGCGGCCACGGGGCGTGTAGCGAGCACGAGCGCCGCGGCGGCGATGGCGGCGGACCTGCAACGCACCGGCGGGAAGGACGACATGAGCTTTGCGGAGGCGTTCCATGAAGCCCAGATGTGGATCACGATGCGCGTGCGGCTGCAGGGCCTGTACTGGCTCGCGCCGAGCGGCACGGGGAAGCGCGCGGCGGGGTACATGCGGCGGTACGTCGACCACTACGTCAAGCTCGCGCTTTCCGCGGCGAAGCCGAGTCGGGAGAAGTACTCGCTGCTGGACACGCTGGCGGAGGCGACGCGGGATGAGAACGAGCTGCGGGACCAGATCCTGGGAATCCTGCTGGCGGGGCGGGATACGACGGCGACGCTGCTGTCGTGGGTGCTGCTACTGCTGGCGCAGCACCCGGCCGTGTTCGAGAAGCTGCGCGGGGAGGTGCTGAAGGAGTTTGGGGAGTACAGCGAGGACGCGGAGGGAATCGACTTTGGGACGTTGAAGGGGGCGCAGTATCTGCAGTTCGTGCTGCGGGAGACGCTGCGGGTGTATAATGCGGTGCCGCTGAATCTGCGCATCGCGGCGCGGGACACGGTGCTGCCGCGCGGGGGTGGGCCGGATGGGAGCCAGCCGGCGGTGGTGCGGAAGGGGCAGACGGTGAATTTCTCGCCGTATGTGCTGCACCGGCGGGCGGACGTGTGGGCGGAGCCGTTGGCGTTCCGGCCGGAGCGGTGGGAGGGGACGAGGCTGGATTGGAATTATGTGCCGTTCAGCGGCGGGCCGAGGATTTGTCTTGGACGTGAGTTGAACGAGTTCTCATGGTGTGTGTGTGTGTGGTTTGCTAACGTGTTGATGACAGAGCAATTCGCGCTTACGGAGGCTGGGTTCCTGGTTGTTAGGTTGTTACAGAGGTTTAAGGCCATGGAGTGGGTTGGGCCGGTGGGCAAGCCGCGGAAGGATATCCATTTTACGATGGCGCCGAAGGATGGTGTACCGGTTAGGTTGGTGTATGCGGATTGATGGGTGAACTTGTAGATGATGGTTGTTGAGGTTTGGGTAAGTCAGGTTCTGGGATACGGATCTCGGTTTGGAGTTTGTGATGCAATAGAAAGGTTTCGTAGAGGTACGATTTACGGTTTACTCGTGTTCTATCTACGTCTTGGGCTTTACACCTGCCCGCCGTCCGGCCTCAGCTACGATGTTCATGACGTATCGCTACATGCGGCCTCGTTTGAGGTCCAGATCAAAACGTCTCGTTGGGTCTCCACGCGCATCATTGCGGCCCACATTGATTGAATAGTTTGAAGAGATACTGTACGGGCCAGACTCAGCAGAATGAAGTTCTTCTGGCTTCAATGTTGAAACTTTCATCCTCAGCGTTCTCCGTCTGAGATGACCCTTGCCAAAATGCCGTATATATATTTAGGTATTCAGTGAGCTCGTTGTGCCGTAACATTGAGTCCGTTCCTTGAAGTTCAGAGGTATCGATGACGACAAGTCGAGGACGGCCTATGAAGATGTGCTGCTGGTGTCCAGCTTTTCCGGAGTTGTCCTGTCACAATGACCAATCCCCTATCAATAGAACCAGGCAGGGCGGTCCCACCAGGGAGACCTTTTTGGTCTCGCAAAGCGTGCATACTCCTTGTTCCACTGACCTTTGGACACACGATCCCAAAACATCAGCACGTGTTTGCAGTCCACCGGCATCCACCCCTTGTCCTCTCGAATCTCGCCCTCCTCCATCTCCTGGGCGTTAATAACCACGCCGTTGACGTCGTCGTCTTCGAAACACTTAATGGCCTTGACAAACGCCACAGGCACCTGGCCTTCCCCCTCCGCAGCCATCGCCGTCTCGTATTTCTGAAACGACTCGAGGCACTCCTCGTCGACGTACAGCAGGTACTTGAGCATCGTCGGGTCGCGAGGTCCCTGAAGTCGCTCGCCATCGTCGTTGAAAAACTGTGCCCGTGCAAACTTACGTCGCATCCTGTCAACCGACGCATACTGAGGCGGTAACTTCATTTTGTAAAGATACGGCTGTAACAGTTTGGTCTTCTCGTCTGGCTCGAGCGCCCATGTGTCGGCCATGCCATCCCTAATGTTGTTCACATAGCGGTCCCAGAGGGGCTTGTCCTTGTCGTCGAGTCCTGTGTGGACGATGAAGAAGCCGAAGGGATAGGGGAGAGGCTGCTGTGGATTGGATCGGATTTCTCGTAGAGCTGCTTCAAAGGGGAGCGCCGATTCGAGTGCCGCCTCGCTGACGAGGCTGTTGATGACGTTGGTGTCGTTGGTGACGCGGCGGGGCAGCATCAAGGTTGCGAGCACGTCCATGATTGCGTCTATGTTGGGAAATGATGATATCGATGATGAGGAGGCTCAAGCCCACTTCTCGACGAGGCCAATAACTCTTAACATGGCGACCGCCTCTTTCTCCGATCGAAGCCATGTCGAACCTTGCAGACCATCAGTCTTTCCTTGGAGTTCATTAGGGTTCTGTGTGCTCAATCTGGAGTTTTATTTCGCCACGTGACCCTCTTTATACAAAGCATCGCCCACCTTTGCGAGCACCCTGCCAGAGGGCTCGTTCTGTCAAGGCTATTCTCATCCAATGCCATACAGGCCTTCGGAACCTCTCGACAAGGCAGTCAAACACACACAGACCATTAAATGACGATCACAACACCAAACAACAACGGGCAACTCGCCCGCTGGCTTAACAGGAAAGGAGATCTATGCTTCGAAATAGCCTTCTTCGCGACTGCCGCCATATCTTTCGTCGCCTTGGGCGCTTTCATCATCGCTCTCAGCTTGGTCGTCGGAGGCCTACTCGTCGCGGGCGTCATATTGTTTTGCGCGGCGGATATGATGAGCGAGAAGGTCAGCAAAGTCGCCCCAGGACAACAGAGTCAGGCACAGACAAAAGAAACGATGAAACAGAAAGGTACCATAAAGCAGGAAGGTGCCACGGAGCAGGATGGCGTTCAAAAGAACTATGACGACGCTCAAAAGAAAGACGACGACATTATGGAGAAGGGAGACGACACTCAAAATAAGGACGGTCCCAAAAAGCAAGAGACGAAGAAGAAAAAGAAGAAGCAGAAGGCGACGCAGACAAGACCCAGCGAGACACATACAATGGAATATGGGGCCTCATTGGATAGGGAACGCAGGATATATCTGGACAGCGTAAGAGGCGGAGCTGAAGATGGACTGTACAGGACGGAAGAGCAACATTGACAAAGTTGGAACTTCGATAAGAGCCTCGCCATCAGAAACTTTGGTTTCGTCATCGGCAAACCACCAACTTACTCAACGATGAAGGCCTTGGTTTAAAACACTTGAAAGCATTGCGCCGAAAGCAGAAATCATGAGATGGGCTCGAAGGGCTGCCTCTTTGCGTCGCGGTCGGGCCCAGAGGTGTGGATGAGGATACTGTCATCATGGGGGCTGAACTATGCTCCCGCCATTTCGCCCTTCCCGGGTTCTTGTAGATCGCTCATGGAAGGAAAATTTCCACCCTGCGACTTAGTGGGCTTGGGTCAATGAATTTCATGATGATGACTGCCGCATTTCCGTAACAGAATCCTTCGCCTGGTGGTTGCGATCATCGAAACTGACGGAAGTTCTCAACTCGGGTGACGTGAACCTTACCGGAAGCCGCTAATATTCTGAGGGTTGTCATATTTCTGCCCATAGTAGTACAGCCGGAGGCTGATCATCGAAAGGGCGCTGGATCCATGCAGATTCAGTCAATGAGTAGACTTGTAGATCTTATGTGGCTGAGTGTCAAGCTGCTTTCCCAAGAAGAACCAAAGGAAGAACCAAAGATAGTGGCCACCATCATCGATCCTGTCGAAAGCAGCCTACTTGCCGACCAGACCGCATGTCATGACGAACTCAGGCAAATGTTGAATGCCGTATCAGACGCCTCTACGATCTAGCAAGAGAACGTCTCGAACGCCTAGCCAACATCTTTACAACTGCCGGTGGCTAGCTGGACTCAGCCTCTTAGGCGGACTCCTACGGCCCGTTCTGCGTCCATACGGGTGGGATGACGGCGAGACCTAGCCCCCCACTGCGCCAGTGCCGAGAAGTGAGCTACGGCAGATGAACACATCGGCGACCAACTTTCAGCTGCCTCTGCTACCCCGGACGCATTCGATCGAATCCGTGGGTCTCTCTTAACGTCTTACACTTACATGGCGTTTCGCTTCTCGGATACGGCAGATACATACCGTTTCCAAAACGACGTCTGCAGGACCCATTCTATGCAACCAAGCTCCGGCCAACGCCGCCGTTCCTTCCAAACTAGCAGAAGCGCTCCGATTCCTCGGAAAGATTACTCAGTCCGGCTAGAACATCATGGAGGAGCCCGGGGATCGTCTCGCACTGCATGTTCTGCACAGCCCTAGCCTTCATTGTCATCTTAGTCATCATCCTTGCCCTCAGCGCTCTGTTTTACGTTGGGTTCTACAGGACATTTGGTCTCATCAAGGGCTTTAGATATCTTTCAAACGAAGTGAAAGAAAGGAAAGCAAAGACGTAGGACGCGGAGGCAACCGCGGCTGTTCCTGACGTCACTACCAATGGTGGTCAACCTGTGTGGGATGTGGCAACCATCTCGGTGCGTGCACCGGTGATCAATTCATGATAATCTTTAGAAAACATCTTGACATGGCGATAATACAGAAGAGGAGGTCGGGATGGAGCAAGAAATTCCGACACCAAATAGCGAAACGCGGCGGCGTCAGAAAGAGACCGCGGGAAATTGTTGAACACTCAGAGTGGTCCTTGGAGAGATAATTTTTCATGCTTAAAGTGCGTTTCAGGATTTATGCTGAGGTATCACGTAGTCCGACTCGTGAAGTGAGATTTATATGAACCTGAATTAAAGCATAGTGGCGCAGAAAACATCTGACGACCGCCGGCTTCGTGCAGTGATAAACAGTTGAAGTCGTATGCAAAACCTTAAGGGTGCCTGTTGTTTTGATCACTACCAGGCAGCATGCACATCAAATCTTGGACACCGGCCGTCCGTCTGTCTTATATTGATCATTGATGAACAATCTGATGAAGTCCATTAAGTAGACGCAAAGGCCTGTTGGTTTGTAGGTATGCTTGCCGAAATCCTGCGAAGGCTGCTGAATTAGGCCATCCAGTTGGATGAACCGTGCCAATGATCCTTCACAGCCCACTGAAGAATTGAAAAGGGCTAAAACTCTAATGATTTAAATATCTAGAACTCGGAGAAGCCTGGTAAAGGAACGTCGACATCCTTAATTCCCTTCCAAAAGCCAAGGTCACGATAGAGACCCTTCTTCTACCGTAAACAATCGACTCCTCGATGAACTATTGTCACCTCGCACTAGATCGGAGACTTTCCTACTTTTTCTGCATAGGAAATGGGGCTTACCTTTCGGGTTTCCTGCGATCCAGAAAAACACCTTGATAGTATAACATCATTTACTGAGGCAGCAACACGTTAGGGCTGAGTCCCAAACAAATGGGGACTCCTTGATAGCACCGTCGCAAAAGGCACACACCTTCGTGCATAATACAAGTCTCATCGCAGAGGTTTGCCAACACAACATCTCTAACCATTTTCAACTCCGACTTGACTAACTATCGGGAACGGCAATTTCCTCTCAAAATCGACATGCTCTTCTCATGCGCAACTAAACAGCTTATGTGGAAGTGGCATAAAGACATAGAGGAGGACGCTGCCGTACTTGGAGGCTTCCTCATGTGGATATTCTTCTTTGAATGCTTCCTCTTCTTCCTGTTTCTTCTTCTTCTTTTACTATACGGCGTATGCTATCTTATCACGAACACTGCCATCGCTTTATTCAGGGACTTGTTTCCCATCACAATCTCCATCAACTGCCCATGCCACGCAAAAGAGTCTTCCCAGGGCGCTGAGAAGATTAAAAGCGACAGTGAGCCTACCGGCGATGGATCATCATCCGTAGGCGGCCGCCGAATCTACAAATACATGTAGGCAGAAGCCTCCTAATTTTCCATCATGTCAGCAACCCGGAGGGGGTATTGCACGACTTCTCTTGGGACACATGAGACTTTTCGAATCGCAGACTTAACTTCGGGTCGGTCATTCTTTTGGGGTTACTATTACGATCCGGTGCGTCAGTCGGAAGCGGGAAAACAAGATTTATGAAGTAAGGAATCAGAAGACAAAATGGAGAGAAACTTGGCCAGGGAAGCTAACAATTACGCGTCAGTTCAAACACACAATCTTGTATTCCACACCGAATGCATTTGTGAGCTTGCTACGCTGCCTCCAACAGGCCTGAACACCATAGACCGCGAAACGGCACGCCAATGTCGACGAGCGATAGCTGCTCTAGAACTCATGGGTTGCGCATAAAGTCAGACATTGCATGCTCCGTATGACACTTCTCGCTAAGACCTTTTTGTGATTCGAATGTCCTCGATTTCTCATGGACAGCTACACAGCGTAGTTGAACACAGAGCGAACACAAAAACGGTGACCGATTCGGGCAACAATGGGAGCGTACTGCAAACTGAGAATCAGGTATAAAAAGGTGCATTGATCGTCTCAATATCTGTCAATTCAAACACAGTCAATCTCAATTTAATTGTACTCAACCTCGCTGCTTCTGCCTTCCAATGCGTCTTCAAAATCGTCTCATCCTATTCGCAACCTTATCGCATGGGGCATACGCCACATGCTTCTGGTCAGGCATAAATTGGGACAACGCCCAGGACTCCGCTCGTGGTGCCGTTGAATACTGGTGCCGTGATGCCTCCGATTCGGCTCGACTGACCGGCGTGTTGTACGTAGAGGAGTGTTCCTTTGTTCATCTTCAGATCGGCACGCTAATTCTGCCACAGCCACTCTGGAGATAGCAAGGGCCGATGCAGCAACCTCTTGCTGAAAGGACAGACAATTGGGTAAGTCTTTTGCATTTTGTTTCCAATGGGTCGCTTAACTTGCGTAGAAAAAGACTGGATATCACAGTGCAATGGCTTGGCCAAGATGAATCGGTCCTCGAGGTGGATCAATGCATCCAGAGACTCAATGATGAGATTGGCTGCGATTTAGGAGGCTCAAAGGTCACCGACGAATGGAGCTTTACGTGAGTATCCATAACTCCTTGCCTGATGCGCGGAATTTGAATGGCCATGAATTTGTGAATACTGATAATCTCATCACTTCAGATCCGATCCAAACACTGGTCTCTGCGCTAAAGTCAGTTGAAGGTCGTGTGGCATACGCGCGTGCTTTGTGACTGGACATTTCTCATGAACAAGCTACAAGATTTGAATTTTTTCTTTTTGGGGGAAATAAGACGGGTGAAACAAGGGATTTAATCTCGAGCTGGTGAGGTTTGGCTACACAATTGATGACATTCACGTTTGGCATGGAAAGACAATTATTGATATGTAAAACCGGTAAGAGTTGCCGGGCCGTGATTATGATTGTGGCAAAAGTATGTGCCATGCCCGAAGGCCTATCATGATACATTAAGATTATTATGTTGGTTCCAATTATTATTTCCTCCAATCAACCATTATTTTCTTTCATATTATGTCCTTCTCTTCATTATTATGTCATTACGTTTTTGTTATCGACATTATGTGGATCGTATGTTTTGGCGGGTAATTATGTTGCGTGAATCGTGACCAATATTTGCAGTCTCTCGATACTCGTGGTCTGAAGATGCGTCCGCAGACTTCTTAGGCGGTGTTGTAGTAGATGTCGATCTCCTTGATCTTGAAGATGGCGTCGACGGCAGGGGGTCCGCAGCTCCAGCCCTTGTCGCCGTTGGCCCAGTTGTTGAAGACCCAAGGTCCGGCAACGGTAGGGACATCCTTGCTGGTGCGCCAGGACTCGACACCGTCAATGAAGAACTTGACCATGGCAGGCTGTCCACCGGCAGCGGCGACCCAGTCGATGCGGTACTCGTGCTCGGTGGTGGTGGGGTTGGCAGGGGCTCCGACTGCGGTCCAGGTCTTCTGGCCATCGCCATCGTTGTCCTGGTTGGCGAACCAGATCTTGCGGGTAGAGCCGCGGCCGGTGTTGCTCTGGGTAGCGGGGTCGGAGAGCCACTCAATGTCACTCTCCTGGTTGTCGTTCTTGTAGAAGAACATTCCTGCGCATTATGTTAGCACCAAATCATATTGTGGAGAAATCTGAAGAGACTTACCATTGCAAACACCAGGAGCCTCGGCAAGAACACCAACGGTTCGGACAGAAG